TGTGCGTGTGTTTCCTCTCTTTTTCTTTTATTTTACAGAAGTGGAAAACTTTCCGTCTGCAAAATTATTCGCCGAGAGTAGATAAAAGCGATCTGGGGGGGGGGGATAAAAGTCACGTCTATAAGTAAAAGAAAGTCTAAAGGTGATCTCGTAAATGTGACCACTGTGGTTCTCTTTCTCTTTCTCTTTCTCACAGTTCTTTCTTTCTTTCTTTCTCTCTCTCTTTCTCTCCTTTTTTTTTTTTACTAGATAAGAAGAAAATTATCGAAATCAGTAAAACGAACGTTATGTAGAATTTTTTAATCTATGTTAATTCTTGTATTTTTTCAAGAAATTTAAATCATCATACTTTGTTAGATCGTTAGATATATCGATGCAACGTTAAGATCGTTAATAATATGATTTGTATTGATTTTCTCTAAAAATAAAAAGTATCTTATAATACATAGATCTTGGCGATTTCTCTGCAGTTATTCATCTTCGCTGCTCGCAATTTCTCAGCGGAGAAGTATATATGTATTATATATATATATATATCCCGTCTCCTTTTTAATGCTATCTAGGGATTCGAAGTTACAAGAAAGAGAGAAAAGATCGGTTCCATTATCATGAAATATACCACGCATAATTCAGCCTTGAAAATTCGATTAATGTTGCACTTTAAGTAACAAAAGACGTCCACGACAAAGGATACCGATTGAAATTCGCGATAATCACGATCACCATCTACTCCAATGCCTGAAGAAGCTTTGTATTTCGTTGGTTATTTCTTTTTCTTTATCTCTTTTCTCCCATTTACGAGGGTCATTGTTGTTGTGCTTGTTGTTTGACCAATTGGTCAACCAAATTCTTGAATCTCATTCTATATCTGACTATAATTAAGTTGGATTTCCGTTTGGTCAGAAAATTATATAGAATTTTGAATTATTTTCTCTCATATAATTTACGTTTCTAATTTTGAATTTTCTCCTCCTCTTATCTTCATATGTATATATATTCGTATGTACTTTCATCTTTTGTCTTTCCTATATATATCCACGCTTGTCGTATTCCCACAGCGCGCGCGCGCGACACCAGTACAAAATATTAATATATTATATCGCGACGAGCTGTGGGACACGTTTAATTTGCCAGAATAGTTTCACGCCTCGCTTCTTCTTCCTACTATTTCCTTCCTTCCTTCCTTCCTTTCTTCCTTTTTATATCACCATCTACTTTCAACTCAATGCCTTCACCACACGTCATACTCTCTGGTTCTTAAAAACGATGAATATTTTCACATTTTCTTTTATCCACGGTAAGCGTGATCATATTTAATGTGAAACATTTAATGAGATTTCTTAGTATATAAAAGTTCGAGTTATCTTTTATAAAAATTTATTCAAAAGTTTTGAAAAAGAGGCACGAAACTAAGAAATGTATAAAGAACATTATTCGCAAACACATACATACACATCGACAATTTGTTCCATTAATTTATTTCAAATTAAACTAGAGATTGTTCTAGTTACGAGAAATTAAGCAGAAATGGAATGGTAAAAGAGATGTGTTAATGCTAAAGTAAAAAAATTGTTAGTAATGAACCCGAAAAAAATAATTGAATATAAAGGTATGGAGCACATCAATATCTTTCTCATTTTCTCTTTCTCTTTGTCTCTCTCTCTCTCTCTCGCAAACAAAAACCGGACGTTATCGCTCACAGTTATCGTCGAAGTTCGCCGACGTTTCTTTGAATAATTTAAAAGGCACCACCGCAGCGAAAATGTAGCGAGCAAATCCCCGGGAATCTCGGGACGTTTCAACGCGACGATCGAACGAACGGAACGCGTCTGGATTTTCGGGACAAATAGGTCAGGATGATCGAGATACTAGTGCGAAAAGCAAAGACAGAACCAAGCTTTTGTCCTTGGAGATTCTTCGGTACCTAGCTTACGAATAATCGAATAACAACAAGTTCTCCGCCTATTCTATCTGATTCTATCGTACGTCGTGGATGTTTTCAATCTATGGATGTATTATGCGTATATATGTATGTACAATATAATGTAAATCTACTGGTATATATGTATATCTATGTATGTATGTAATTGGAACTCGATAGTAGACCGTAACGATATTCGATAATTTCGTTGAGGGAAAAGCCAAGTTCTCACAGATTAATCGAACTCGTTCGCTTCACTCTCGATTAATAACGTTAACGGTAACAATGAAAGGCTTGATTAAACGAGACAATAAACAGCGAAATTGCAACGTGGACAAATTAATTATTAAATAAATCGTATAGTAAGGATTATTTTCTTTTCGATTTAATGTATATGTACATATACGTACATATGCAAATGCACGACGGTATACATACATGTACGATAAAACAAAAATTTAACATCGTCTTTTTTTTTATCATACATTTTTCTCGTATATAACGAAAATTACATGTCGCGAAGTTCTGAGGTTTCCCTTTTATTGTGCAACATTTTAATAAATTTTCATTTAATGTGCTTTCATTATTTTCCTCTTTCTCAACGAGCGAATCGGGTGAAAGGAAGAGGCGCTTGAAAGACTTCCTTTAATTCGTACTTAAGCTTTCCTCATCTACTTAGCAGTTTTGTTTCATATGCTTGTGAATTTCGAAATAGTTTGCTGAGAAATTAATGGGACATAATGAGACGAGAAGTCAGATTAACTGAACGATCGCTCAATCATTTGTTCGTTTCATTAAACGGTATTCATTGCTAAGTCTCTTTTTAGTCCAGGCAAATTAGTCATATTTTGGCATGAATCTCGGAATGAGAAGATAGT